TCCCCCTTTTTGACACATGATTTGGCCATGTGTCAATATTACCACCTACCTAAACAATCACTTTAGTTAATATTGGTAATTCATTATCCAATTGCCATTCCTCCACTCTCTCTTCTGTTATTTTATGGTTCAAATCAAATATATTATTACCAAACTATAATCTTCTTCACAATTTGCACAGTATTACAAATTACCGTCAACTTAGTAAAATAAACTATCTTAATGTCCTCCTCTCATGCCTTTAGAATTTACTAGTGTGGATGATTAAAATAACACCAGAATGTTAAAACAGAGTTCAGAGGCCATTGAAATCATTTAACGAACTGTTTAATCCCATAGTATACTAAACATTACCATTATTCTAAATATTTCATAAATGTTAGCTATCCCAAGTGTTCATTAAATCCTCATGACATTCATTCTCATAAGAAATCATATATACCCCAAACTCAGCCAAAAGCTAAAAAACTCCATAAAATTCACTGTGTGCTCCTCTAAGACCTATCACCCTTGACCTGCTGAAAACCCCCCAAAATTGAAACAACAAGGCTTTATAAACATCATACTAGGTGTGTTGTTTTTTATTTGAAAACCCAATTTGAAAAACAACCACAAATAGCCAGGCCTTAATTTGGTAGCTCACTTTTATGACCTAAATAATGCCTAACTCCACTACTGCTCCCCTAGCCCTAGGCAACATTCCAACGAGATGAGCTAATCTCTTTCTCCTGGTTATCCCCAGTCTTAACCCATCAATAATTGTTTGTATCAATCTAATTCCTCATAACTAATCTATAAAACCACTCAAAATTCCTAGAGTATACAATGATTACCCTAACTCTGCTACATGTACCAAAAATTTATATTTTCCCCGCTAAACCATTTCAGTTCGCTATTCAATTTATTTAACTGTTCTCTCTGATTATGCCCTAATTAATAAAACAAATACTTGCTATCGTTGATTAGCATACATTTAATGATGTTCCTACCATCTGAACTGTACTGTCTCTCACCCTCCCCTTGCTCCTTCGGGGAGAGCGCATGGTAACCATATAACATATTTTCATAGACTTTTCTAGAATACTTCTATTTAAGCTATCTAATTCAACCTTTCACATAGTAATCTAGGTATATAGCCCCACTGCGAAAGCTTTGTCTACTGTCCCTACCTGTGTTCGAAACCAGGGACATCGCCAGTCACTCCACACCATCTACGATTCTCTCAAAGTAATACTTTCACGTCGCACATCCAGCCACGTCATCACCCCCGTCTAGCCAGCCCTTCCGTCTCAAACACCCCTAGTAGCCAAAATAAAACACACTCTAAACAGCGTTCTGCATTTTCCTCTATCATCGGGTTTAAGAACTAACGTAACAACATTAACTATTCTCTATTGCTGTAGTAGCGTCTTGTTTGGTTCAGTTTATTTATTACGGAGTGTCCATAATACTATAATAATACATAATCGAATTCCCCTCATGCATACAGATTTCACCTTATGCCATTGAAATGCCAAATAAACCATAATAGTTCAATGGAGCCCCCTATTGGCTCTCCCCTACCTATACATTACTTCTATAACCACTTTAGTTATGGTCCGATTACAAATTAAACCTTATCACATGATCAAACAACGCCACAAACCTTAAACTCATATGGGGCGGCAGGCAGCTTAGTGATCAGTAGCGCCGCGCCAACAACCGAGAGGTCGCCGGTTCCAATCCCCGAGCCGACCAGGCGAAAAATCTGCCGATGTGCCCTCGAGCAAGGCACTCAACCCCAATCGCTCCTGCAAGTCGCTCTGGACAAGAGCGTCTGCCAAATCACCAAAAATGCAAATGTAAATATTCTCTACTTTCTCACCCATCTCATCCCTCGTCAGAAACCCACATGCACCTCTCAAATAATCACCCCGTGGTGTTCCCAGCCAACTCCAGTCTTTCACAGTCAAGCCACACTTTCGCTCTCTCCAGCCCCTCCCCTCGCAACTTTCTCTTCAGCTTTCGGTGGGAGCAGGCTCTTTTGAGGAGCTGTGGTAAGTGTTTCCAATATTCTGTGGTTATTTAAAGTATTTTAAATCTATTTATTAAATCAAATCATTCCCACCTAATTAGTTAAAGTTGGTGCATGTTTATATTGAAATGATAAACCGAATTATTTCAGTCTAATTGTTTAACCAGTATTTTGCAGGGTCAAACTTCAAACGCCACAGTTCAATCATATCAGCTCAACCGTTTCAGTTCAGTCACACTAGTCATTCATCACTTTAGCTTTATGTTCCCAATTGTTTTAAAACGGGTTATATGGTTTAAGCAACCACAACCCAACAGTTATCCCCAAATTATACAGTTTGGACAGCCACAGACGTTTTTGATTCCCAATTAGTTTTCTATCAAGGTATACAGGTTTGTCATTCACACTCTCATGCATACGACAACACTCGCACTGTCTAACTTTTAAAGTACCTCCTATGAGTCTCTCAGTCATAGCTTGGCACTGTCTAAACTATTTTAAAGTACTTTCTATGAGCCTCAGTCATAGCGTCGCACTATCTAATCTATTTTAAAGTACCTCCTATGAGCCTTAGTCATAGCGTCGCACTGTCTAATCTACTTTAAGTGCCTCCTATGAGCCTTAGTCATAGCTCGCACTCCCATGGGTTTTAACCATCACAATTATCAAACATTTGCATAGTACATTATGAAATCGAAGTAGTATACTGTAATTGTTATTTATAGTAGAATAGGGTTCACTTACATCAAACAGGTGCTTCACAAAATTAATTTGGATAAAGCCAATGTGCAAAACTTCAGTTATATTACAATAGGTGTTTTGCTTACCTTTATAGAAGCCCGGGCAATTTGTGAAACACAGTTCAATGACAGTGATGTCCAATAGGCTGGGTGAATTCCAGCGAAGTGAAGTTCCGCTACCAGATCACGTCGGGGTCACCAATTGTTAGAAATTGCGTAATTCAAATCTGGTATTGGAATAAGAGAAAACATAATCAAGAGATATTCAATCCAAGCTAAATTTATTATATGCAAAATGTATGTATGATAAGTATGAAGGTTCGTATATACGGGTCCACTGAAATACCACTCAGGGCACTCAGTTAACTAATCCATTGTTCTAAGTTCTTCTTCAAATACTCTGACAGAAAGCCTCCACTTCTTCTGTTGGCCAACCAGAGCAAAGGACTGAGTGTGGTCCAGACTCCCATTTCAGCCAATCCGTTCCATTTGTTACCAGGCATAGTTGCTATGATAATAACCTGCGGAGTCAGCACCGAAAATCCACAAAATCCACTGTAGCCATTGTAGTGTATGGAAATTAGGACTGTTTTAAATGTTTTTCATGAAGAAATGGAATGTTTGTTATGTTAGTATCAAAAGGCAATGTTTATATAATGTAACATATAATAGACAGGAAGTGTATTGTAAACTGGCCAGAAGAGGGAGCCCATCTTGTTGCATTGGTTATAAATAGGGGTACACGAAGAAGATAGGACAGAGCAGACATTAGAATTGGAGGACACTGCTCTCCGGACCTTGCAAGTCTGTTTACTCATGCTGAAGCTTGTGATCTGAATAAACCTTATGATCAACGTTCAGTATGAGCAGACTCCTTTTGTTCATCAGCAAGGACGACCACCATTCATCATATACGACATAATTGGCGAGCTTGCCAGGAGGGATGATGCAATCCTTCTTTGCTGCATTTGGAGTCGCCAAGCTAACTCAAGCTAACTTCGGTCTGGAGTCATGACCCGACTAAATACAGCTAAGTTGTTAGTTTTGTTACTGCTTGTGTACACGG